AAGTACACCCAGGCTACATCCAGGGTTAGGACATACCAGTTGATAGTAACGCTGAATTCCTCTTTTAGGAATCTCTCTTTTTATACAATACTCTTTATTTTGACCTGTCAGCCACTCCTGGCTGCTTAAGTCTTTTAAGGATTTTTCCCAGTAAACAATAACTGGAGCCCTGACAGCTCTTGGAATTCATTTTTCACTGAGTGCTTTAATCATGTTACCCGTAACAATTTGGCTTAATGTCAAAGGTATTCCCCATTGTAGTGCACTATTCTGCTATCAACAACCTAGATAAAATTAATTTGGCAAATCCAAGGACAATGTAGTCTTAAATTTTTAGCTTTATCATCTCAAAGAAAATGCTGATAATGGATATACACCTCCCAAAAGGGATGAGGTATCAAGCTGTGCCTCCATATTAATGAATGTATAACCAAATGCACTTTCAGATAATACCTGAGAGTTTTTGAAACTTGCATGGTGATTTTGTTTCTTTCTTTTTTTCTGTTAAGCTTCTTAGTTGAAACTGTCCTTGATATCAGTAAAAATGTTCTTGAACGTCTGAAAATCCCATCTAAAATTTCAAAAATGACACTGAATTTTTGGCATGAGTGCCTTATTCTTAGATTTAAAAACAACAGTAGCCAAACTAACAGATTTTATTTGATCAGGTGCTAAAGGTCGCAATTCTAGCTGAGAAGTATGCAGTGGATTATACCTGGTATGTGGATACAATCTTGAACCTCATCCGCATTGCTGGAGACTACGTGAGTGAAGAGGTGTGGTACAGAGTCATTCAAATTGTGATTAACAGGGATGATGTGCAGGGGTATGCAGCGAAGACCGTATTTGAGGTAAGAATAAAGACTTTAGTTTTCTAGTATGACCCCATACTTTGGTATGGGTGTGAAAGATAGTATTTGTCTATCTGGTACAATGTTCATTTTAGCCATTCCCACAACACTTTTGAACACTAAAGTCTTTCTCTTTTTTGGGGGGGAAGGAGGGGAGAGGGAGCTTGAAGTACCCTGCCACAACTGAAGTGCATGTCAGTTCAGTATGATTAGTATTATCACAATCCTGAAGTTGAAGAATTTTATCCTAAATTTTCCCTGGTGGAGACAATGCTCTTGGTCTTCTATGCATTACTTCAGAAGTTTGTGTGTGTTTTCAGTAGGCTTGTGTCCTGACCACTTATGGCTGAGTGCTGTTTGTAATCAGTCATTCATTGCTTTTTGTAATAGAGCAGGAATGAAACCGGAAGGTGTCCTTTTAGGCAAAGTAAGGCTTACGCATATGTAAAACAAGTGATTAACTTCCTTGGTCATGTCTTTATTTCCTTCTTCTGTCTTTTTTGCTTTTTATTTGGGAGCAGATGACAATATTCTTTTAATGAAAGGGGTCTTGGATTAAAATGTAGTATGCATTTTCATGTCCTTATACTTCTTCTGGAGTAAGAGGACAGTGTTACAGTACTGCCTTCTGGAAAGCATAGAGGCAGTCATGAGCTGTTGCCTTACATTTTATGCAAGAATCAGATAAATGTCTACTTCCCAACTTTCTTCTCTCCATCTTAGTCTTTTAGCCTCTTGGCTTTACTTTGGCTTTCCTGTTGTCTTACATTTTCCTTTTCATTCCCATCTAGTAAGAGACTGTTATAAAAAGAAACAAATAGGAATCCTCGCATAGTCTGTGTAATTTTTAAGTGTTGCTCTTCAGGTCATGAGATATAGCTACTGGTCTGGTAGTTGATCAGCACCCCTTTTAATGCTGACCATTTAATTTGATATTATGAGGTTTCAGCTGGGGAATATAGAGCTGCAGTCACTATTACTGGCTCCGCTGCTGCTGGCTTTTAATCGTGATGAGCCAGTGGATATTGCCTGAGGTTCAATACATGTTTCCTGTTCAGCAAGCATTCCTTTTGGTCTGTCCTGTCTTTAGACGTCTGAAACATCATTGCTCTGGAGCCTCCAGGATGCTGCTGTCCTGTCTTGCTCTCCAGGATGATTGGAACTTTCTGATTTATTGAACTTTCCCAAAGAGCCATAGTAAAGGATCACTGAATTACTATGGCTTGACCCTCAGCTGGCAGCTTCACAGTGGGGGGTCTTATCAGAACTCTAGTTCTTCCAGATGGCAAGCTGTGACCTGTGGCTAGAAGGAAGATTTGGACTTCCTCTGTTTTTTGTCTTTTTTTGAAATTTAGTAAAACTAAAGCAATGCATTTGTGTTTTTCCAAGTTCGTAACAGGAAAGGATTATGGTTTTAAATACCCATTACTATGAGGTGTGAGGTTGCTTTCAAGCCTCATTTTGAGTTGCAGATGTCTTTTAGGAATGCAAGCTTTCACTTAACAGAAACTTCCCTTAACTTACCTCTTCTAGTAGATGGCTCCATAGCACACACTGAATTGCATTTTGTAGAATGGAAGGGTATAAAACTTACCGTTAAATAATATTCCCTTTCAATATGTTTGCCATTTTGTGTCCTGCTTACATATACAGTATAACCTAATAAATCCGGTTTTCAAAATTCCAGAATTCGCAAAAATCCGGCACTTTTTAAAAAATACACTACATGGGGGAGTAGCGGCAGCCAGTCCTGGAGCAGCGGCTATATGTGCAGCGGTGGTGTGGAGTAGTGGATGGCAGCAGCAGCCAGCGCATGCAAGCTCCTCCCCCCCTCTGCGTCCTGGGGAGGGAGGGGGGCGGTAGTGGCAGGTAGTTGTGGAGTGGTGGTGCAAGGTGGGCAGTAGCAGCAGCTAGTGTTTAAAAAATGTAGAATTTTCAGATTTCCAGCAGGTGCTAGGCCCAAAGGATGCTAGATTTACAAGGTTATACTGTACTTTTATTCGCTGTACGTGTATGGGGTAACACCCTGACCTGACAGTTCTTGGCTCTTGAGGACCATGGTTTTTCTGATAATACTTAGAATTCGTAAGAGTTAATGCAGCATTACCCTAGTGGCTATTTTTATAGAGCAGAGCTGGACAACCTGCGGCACGAGTGCCACAAAGAACATGGGCATTCTGTGTGTGTAGTGTATATGGCAGATTGGGGAGGGAATTGATAGCACTGTGGCACATAAGACAAGATGTAGAAAGCAGTGCAGGAGATTAAGAAGGAATCAAAGTAGAGGAGGAGATCAGGCAGGAAGCAGAAAGCAGAGCAGGAGATCAGGGACCAGTCATTTTGACAAGCTTGTCACAAATTAACTCTGCACCTTCAGTGCCACCGATCCTGGTCTGCCCACTGTTCTGCAGTAGAACAGTGCTTTTCTACTCTGTATCAATGCTCACTGATTTGAATTTGGCATCTAATGTTTTGACTATGTGGTCTTTAACAGGCCCTTCAGGCACCAGCCTGCCATGAGAACCTGGTCAAAGTAGGTGGCTACATCCTGGGAGAATTTGGCAATCTAATAGCTGGTGATCCAAGATCCAGGTGAGAATACATAAAGCTGATTACGTGACATTCCAGAAATCATTCTTATTCTGGAATTTTAATGCCTGTTGTTTCATGGCCTTTGAAAACATCAGCATGAAACATTTTCTAAATACATTAGAGAAAGTAATGATGCTGAATCATGCATTATGAATATAGACTAAACTGTGCTTCCTTTTTTTAACTTCACTCTTAAGCCCTCTGATTCAGTTCAACTTGCTACACTCCAAGTTTCATCTATGCAGTGTCCCTACTCGTGCGCTCCTTCTGTCTACTTACATCAAGTTCGTGAACCTCTTTCCGGAAATCAAAATCACCATTCAAGATGTACTGCGCAGTGACAGCCAGTTAAAGAATGCTGATGTTGAGCTGCAGCAGAGAGCTGTTGAGTACCTGAGGCTCAGTACTATAGCTAGTACTGACATCTTGGTAGGTACAGAGTTTAATATAGAAGATTGCAGTTGTTGGAATAAATATTCCAGCTGTCTCTTTTTTATTTACAAGTAAAACTGTCAGACAATCCACATATCAGTGGATTCTTCCAGTGCTGTCTTCTGCTTTTCCAAAACTTGTCTATTTTGGCTACATTCAAATGAAAGAAAAATCAGTTAATGTCAACTTTAAATTTAAAAAATGTACCTTTTAATTCCAGACTCTTTTTCTGTATGCCAGCCTGGGGGGGTTTAGTAGTTAAGGGAGTAGTTTGTTCAGGTGTGGCAAATCGGAATGTTTGAAGGTTTATGGGAAGGAACTATTGCTTTGTTCACTGTCCTGAATTGCAGTATTTATCTGCCTGTGTTCTGGCTGTGTTTGTTCAGGAGTTGCACCACAATAGTACAGAGTAGTTGGAACAGTTTAACAGAGCTGTTTACTGGTATGAGTCATGTGCATGTGAAGGGATACCTTATTTCACCACTGTGGTCTGTAGACTTCATTTAAATTTGCAGAAGCCTTGTCCAGGACATTTTGTCTCCAGGGAAGTGAAGATGTGGTTTCACAAATCATGATTTTATCAGAGTAGCAGCAGCACTTTAACTGCCTCAAGATTTTGAGAGGAGTAGACTAAACTAGCATATGGCTGTAGGCAGCTCTTGCTTGGGCATAGTAAACTTAAACCAGAGTGAATAATTTCTATTTTTGTCAAGGCAGAAGGGAAAAGAATGAACTGTTCAGATTCTGTTCCTCAGTGCCTGAAAGCATGTCCAACAGTCTCCCAACTATACAGTTGTGAGTAAAAGATACTGCAGAAAATTGAAATTTACTGTAATGACGGGTCTGGTGATGGTGTAGTAGAGCTGGAGGTGGTGAGGGGCACCCAGGGCAAGGGTCCACTGGCAATCAGAAGGGTCTGTCAGTGGGAAGGGATCAGGGGAGCCAAGTTTGCTGACCAATGGGGCTCTTTGGCCCTGCAAGCCAAAGCCAAATTCCACTGCATGCCCTGTCCTCCCAACTTCTGGTGGGCTAGATAGCATGGCTCCACAGACCAGATCTAGCCAGTGGGCTGCTTTTGACAACCCTGCTGAAAGGTATGCATGTCTTAGCAAAACTGGAAAAAAACCCCATGTGACATCTTAAAGATGAAATGGGTATCGCTCACTGCCTGGGTTAACCCTAGCAAATGATATCAGTCAAAAGCAGGATCAGAAATAATTTGCAGCAAACCAATAAAACCAAACTTTGTAAAATTGTAGGTAGGATGGGAAGAAAATTCCACATTAGGAACACCATGTGATCATTCTGAGCAAGCTTAAACTATTAATCTTAAAATATTTTAGTATAATCAGACTTTATAGATTTCCAAATGCTTAGCACAGCTGTGTTTCTAGTAATTACCCATACAGTAACCACTTTACTTCAGCATTTCAGAAGATGGACACTCGCTCCGCATTGGCTTGTTGTAATATATGGTTAAAGTAGTGAGATTTGTTCTGTTTTCTTGAAATCTGTACTGAAAAATTTAATTTTTCATGACTAGGCAACAGTGCTAGAAGAAATGCCTCCCTTTCCAGAGAGGGAATCCTCCATTCTGGCCAAGCTGAAGAAGAAGAAAGGGCCTAGTACTGTTACTGATCTGGAAGAGATCAAAAAAGAGAGGAGTTCTGATATGAATGGAAGTGCTGAACCCACACCTGTTAATGCCAGTAATGTAGTAAGTGTGCTTTTAAACTCGTACAATTTGTGCTACGCCTTCTACTACTGTAGGCGTGTTACACTTGTAGTCAAGGGAAAACACCTTTTCTTTTCCTCACAGGTAGAGAGTGTACAGGTGTTTGAAGCACTTAGGCAGGGAAAAAAAATTGTGCTTCCACTGCAAACTGTTAGCTATTTCAAACGGCTGCTTTCTTGTTTTTTCTAGTGTTGTATGTAACATCTGTTCAGGTTTTTTTGGTGGGGTGCAGTAGAGGTTCCTAGGGCCTTCAGTGCCCCTCAGTCTTCTACTTTCTCCTTTCCTACACAGGGGAGGAAAGGAGGGAGAGTGGCTGGCTTCCTGAGATCTAGCCTAGTGATAAGCTGTCGGGAAGGTCTGCAGGTATCCTGCTGAAGCAGCTGTGCCAATTCCAACCCAGCATCCCCCTCCCTCACTGCATTATCAGTCTTGGCATTCCCCAGGGCTGTTCAAGATGCACTGGAGGTTCCTGGGGTGATCGGGGTGGTGGTGGGGGAGGAGTAAGGAGAGCAATTCTCCTTGCTTCTACAAGGCAGGTGGGGCTGTCCTTGGTGCCTGCTGTTGCTTAACAGCTGCTCTGTTGATAGCTTGCCCCCTCCCTGTGAATTACCAAGCTCCTATGGGGGCTGGGGACCCAAGGAGCAGTCCTCTATCACCCACTGACTGGAGAGCTTGCTGCTGATGCGTATCCAGCTCTCCAGCCAGGGGGCTGGAATGCCTGTATTTCCATGCTAATTTCTGGGAATTGAGTGCTGCAGTTGACCACTAGGGATGTGCAGAACAAGCCATACCCAATTTCGGCCGAATCCAAATTGAAAACAGTGATTCGATTCATTGATTTGGATCACTGTCCCCGATTTTATTTTATTTATTCATTTATTTATTTATTTTTTAGATTCGGCCGAATCTAAAGATTTAATGCCAATTAGGCCATACGCACAGCTTTTAAATATGTGGGGTTTTTTGGGGGTTTTAATTTTTTCCTACATACCATGAGCTGCAATGCTGGGGTGGATGGAGTGTACCACAGGAGCATGGCAAACCCGGAAGTGAACCGGAAGTACTTCCAGTCCACTTCTGGGTCTGCCAGGGGGTGCAAAGGGAGCCCCCCATACCCCCGGCTCAGCGATCAGCCACAGGAGGACCCCAGGTGCTCCTTCAGACCCAGGAGACACCTGTTACTGAGCTGGGGGGCGTGGGTGGGGGGCCCCCAGTGCACTCCGGCAGACCTGGAAGTGGACCAGAACTGCTTCTGGTCCACTTCTGGGTTTGCTGCCAGGCACGCCTGGGAGCCCCCTGCACTTCTGTGGGACTCTCCATGCACCCCAACATCACAGTGTTCACAGGCTGCCTGGTACTTTGAGGTATGTAGAAAAAACATTTTAAAATGTGTCTGTCTGAATCGATTCGGAGGGTTCTGAGTTTGGTTCTGAGAGATTAAAGGGTCTCCTGACTTGATTCAGAGATTTGGCTACCAAATAGGGCTGAATCTCCGCCAAATCCAGTCAGTGACCGAAGCTTCACACAGCCCTACTGAACATCTTTCTATAACCTATGACTTGGGGCACTTGAGTGTTGCGAGAGAAGCAAACATTACTTAAACTAGCCTTGTGCAGCATCTATCTCATGCACTCACTGTCACAATGGAAAAAAAAATGAAAGTTACAGGAAATGTGTAGCTGTATTACCTTGGAGGTGAGGGAAATGTGCAAATCCTACCCACAACATAGATTCATAGATTGTAAGGCTGGAAGGGACTTTGGAAGATCATTGGGTCCAGCCCCCTGCACCAAGCAGGAAAGATAACTGGGGGTCGGGTGACCCCAGTGAGGTAACCATCCAGTTTCCTCTTGAAGATTTCCAGGGTAGGTGATTGCACCACCTCTGGAGGGAGCTTATGGCACAGTCTGGACACCCTGAGTGTGAAGGAAGTTTTTCCAGCATTAAGCCTGAATCTATCTTCCAGGAGTTTGTGGTCGTTACTCCTGGTTTTCCCCTCAGATGCCCTGATGAACAGTTGCTCACCAAGCCCTTGCTGTACTCCTCTAGTGTAGCAGTAAGCTGCTACCAGGTCCCCTTTCAGCATTTTCTTCAGGCTGAAGAGTCCCAGGTCCCAGCCTTCCCTTGTATGGCTTGCCATATAAGACTGATCATATGGGTGGCTCTTCTTTGGACTTTCTCAAGCTTGTCACGTCCTTGTTGAAGTGTAGTGCCCAGAACTGGATGCAGTACTTCAGCTGCGGTCTCACCAGTGCTGAGTAGAGCGGAAGAATCACCTTCTTGGTTTTGCAGGAGATGCATTGATCGATGCATGTCGGAGTATTATTTGCCCTGCTGGCTACAGCACTGCACTGCTGGCTCATTCATACTGTGGTGTATTATTACCCCATGTCCCTTTCATTCATGGTGCTAGTCAGTTTGGTGCTGCCAAGCCTGTAGGTGTGTTGGGGGTTGCTTGCCCTGAAGTGGGATCAGCAACATAATTTTAATCAACGAGAGAGGAGCTGAGTGGGGTACCTTCTCTGCTATAGACTGACTTGTTGCTTTATCTGCTTTCAGAGCAATTCAGAATGTTGATTCACTTCATTATTTTCACCACTTGAGGAGATCCAATGCATGTTTTCTTGCTTCTTCCTGAACTAAAATATCCAATGCTATTTTTAAGATGATTTTGACAGAACTGTTTTCACCCTACAAATTAAGTTGAGATTCATTATCTTGTCACTAAAAGTGAAAATGTTAAAGGATGCAATGGATGTAGGATGTAGCTTTTAAATGCACTCAATAGCTATTGCTGTGGATACAAATATTAATCTTAAGGTTTTCTTTCTAAAATGCTTTTCCACTGAACTCAAACTACTTATTACAGCAAATCCCACCCAGTGCTTCAGCAGCCATCACCCATTTCCAGACTTAATGAGCCAAGCTTTTTTTCATCCTAAGAGCTAGTTAGCCAACCATTTTGCCACTTGTTCCACTTTAGTTTATGCTCCATTATCTATAGATCAGCATCACTCAATTATAAAGCTGCTACCTTCAGAAACTGATTCGAGTTTAGACACAGGTCAAACTGTTCTTGTATTCTGTGTAACTTTCAATGTCATTATTGGTGTTTGTTAAAGAAAAAGCGAAATTGTTTACTACTTAAATCTGCACATAGCATTCTGGCTTGGTTTGTATGCCAATTAAAAAAAAAAAAGCTATTATATATGCAAAAAAAATAAAGCTAATGAAAAGTGGAACTTATCTCACTTTAAGGTAGACATTTCATAAACAGTAGTTCAGGATCTGTATTTTTGGGCCATGTTCTCAGTGAACAGTGCCCAACAAATGCATGTACTATGCATGATGTAACCAGATGCTTGTGCATGTGACTTGTGTTGCTTTTCCAAATCTGGTATTGGGATGCATGTCATTAGCAAGATGCAGTAGCCCAGAGTTTGCTTCCAAAGGAGTGATTCTCAATTGCTGCCGCAGTAATCCTTTCCAGGGGTGCTAGGGAATGTTAGCATAGTCAAGTGTGCAAACGTTCACAAAATTAAAACCAGATTTCAAATAGGATTTCATGGTGTTAAAGACATTCTGACCTTTTTGCAATAGAATTACTCTATTTTTCTGTAGTCAGAAAAAAGTGAAAACTCCAGTTGGCATCGTGATTCTTTTTCAGACTTCATGCATAGTTTTGAAGACCTTGCATCTACTCGCTAAAGACCAGTGATGTCACTACAGTCCATATCTCAGTATATTCCAACATGCAGGAGGAAATTTGCACAATCATTCAAAATGCTGTTGTGGCTAGGCTACCTCTTGTTTGCTAAATGTGACTTCTGCATGAATTGAGGTGTCTGGATATTGCTATATTCTCTTCTTTGAGACTACAGCGTTCTATTCTGCTTTCTCATTCTTCCCTAATACTAGCTTCCAGTTGCATTTTTGCTTATAGTCTTTGAGTAAGTCAAGAAATGAACAACACAACCCACTCACATTTTTACAGAAGTATCTTCAGCAGAGCATTAATATCTTTTTCCTACTCCTTACGTTCTCCACATAACTTCTTTTAAAGAGCAATGATAAACTTTAATAGGACTTGAATTATTTACATGACCTTTCTTTTAGCAAACTAATTCTTAATAGATGGGTCACTCTTTTGGAACAGCAAGTGTATGTTATTCTCCACTTCTATGGTGGGGTGTTTTTGGGGTTTGTTTTTTTTTGAGGGATGGCGCACATCTGAGATGATTTCTAGCAGAGTAGGGGCTCTGGCATGGCTGTAATTTTAATAGTGCTAGCCGCAGTTTTAAGGCATTCTGTTCTTGTCTTTTTATAGTCAACTCCTTCTCCATCTGCAGACCTTCTGGGTCTTGGTGCAGTTCCTCTGACCAATTCTGCTCCTGCACCTTCCTCTAGTGGCAGTTTGCTGGTGGATGTATTTTCAGACTCTTCCTCTGTGGCTGCACCTCTTGCTCCTGGCTCTGAAGACAACTTTGCAAGGTAATGAGGGTTCTTACCTCATACTGCTTCCCTGTTATAACTGATGGGAATTTCAGCAAAGAGTACAAATGGCTTCAGTTGTCTTTTGTCCTGTTTATAAATGATATTCACTTCAGCTTCTGAACAAGTTATTTAATATCATTTATGGAATAGGAAAATTCACATTTGGTTGGTTACCCAAAGGCAAGCTAAATATGAATGCTGAATGTGCTGTCTGTATTGAGTAGACAAGCTTAATAGCTTAAATCCAGAAATACCACAGTAAATCTAGGGGTTGACCGTATATAGTTGTCTGGTGTTAAGGCCTTCAAGTTTACTTTAAAGGCATTATTTGCCAACTGCATTAACTATTAATCCTGAAGTTTTCTAGGTTGGCTCACATCATGCATATTTCCTGGTGCTTCCCTAACTAGATCAGCTAATTTGTGGCCAACACTGCATCTGAAAGAGTATTTTAAAAAAAAGGAAAAAAAAAGAAACCAACTTTCTAATTAACTTCTACTGAGGAATATGTAACAGAATTTTTTTCTGTTTTTTTTGCTTTTGTATTAAGCGAGTTTGGGATAAGTGTGTATTCAGCAGGGTTCTATAAATGTACTAGTCTAGGCAGTCTCCCTTTTTGCCATTTGCAAGAACTTGTATAAAATCTGTTCTCCTTTCATGTGACATCAGGCTAGTAGTTCCATAAGAAGCATTTTGCAACCTTAGCCAGTCTCTAGATGTGCTCTAAGATTTGTCACCTAAGGGTCTTCTGTACATGCCTCTGTCAATCTTCCACTACACCTAAGGAACCCTTTTTTTAAGGCATGTTCTAGACTATTAATGTTTACTGCCGTTCCATAATTGTTATAAAATGCTTTTGGTATTACCTTTTAACTGCTTATACCAGCATGGTAAAACATATGACTAACTAAAAATGCTTAACTGTCATTGGGCTGCACACTGAAGCAACAGGAAACTTTTTTTCTTTAAATATAAGGATTTGAAGCAATACATTCTCGCTTCTGGAGTTTGCTGCCTTTAAAGAATTTTTAGATGGCAAAGTGGTATAATTAAATAAGTGCTGAATGGTTTGAGTGCCTGTTGACTTCAGTGAGAACTGCAGATTTTCAGCAAACATGAAAAATCAGGTTACTTGAAAGTGTTTAGGTCTGTTAACTCCAGGTACCTCTTGACCCCTGTTTTGATCTCCCAAAATGCTGTGCTTGAGGAATGAGGTAAAGGAAATGATTAAGCACTAAGCTCTCTTTTACTAACTCTTGACATCTCTATTACTACCTCCTTTCTCCCTTTGTGATGCTTGAAGTAGTTCTGACCTGGCTTCATCTGAGGTAGTTTCTGAGGAACCAGCTGATGCTGTGCATGATGCTGATGAGCTTATACACAAGTAAGCAATACTAAAATTTTGCTAGGCTGGGAGAGACTTCCAGAACTTCACACAAACATGCACAATTGCAAAGCAAGAGAACTAACCACTGACCACTTTTCATAGTGGGGAGGGAATGTTTGGGTATTCGCAGAGCATGTTAGATTACAGCATATGCAATTGACCTAAAACCAGTTACAGAGATGTACTTATTCAAAACTCTACCGCTGCAGCTCAGCATAACATTCAGTACCCCATGCTGCTCAAACTTTGCCTTCCCTCCTGAGTAATATGATTTTATACTATATTTTGCTGTTGCTTGGAGAGATGGACAAATGAACTGGAGGAGTAGGTAGCTGTTGCCAGATGCCTTAGCAGAAGCACTTGTTTGTTCAAGTGCTTTTGTAGAAAGCTAGGGTTTTACTGAATCTGCTTAATTTCGGGGGGGAAAGGACTTGAATCTGCAGTGTAGGATGGGTTCACTTTGTTTAAAAACCAATCTGAAAATGGCTTGAGGAATGGAGATCAGCCATAAGTACATGACAAGATTCAGCAGATATATGTAAATGCTCATTCTGTTTGTTAACAATGTTTACCTTCCTGATTTGGTATTTTTGTCGTTTCTTATACCCTTGGCACAGTCTCTCATTCAGTAGCTGAATGCTGATTGAAATGCATCGGTTCTCTGGTCCTTGTAGCATGCATGTTTGGGGTCTCTTGGCTTCTTTCCTATTTTTCTTAAGCATCATAATCAAATTAAAGTTTGGATAGTTTGAATAATAGTACCTTCAAGAAATGGGTTCTGGCTGTAATGAACACCCATTTGCATCAGGTTTCCTGTTTCTCTGTCATGTCACGTTTTCACTGAATGCTCCTGGCCCCACTTTTGTATGCCATCCCTAAGGCCTTACACCCATGGTTCTAAACTCCTTATGGTAGCAATGGCAAGAAAAATGCAAACACGTCTGTCTGTTTCTAGATTCATTTGTAAAAACAACGGAGTGCTGTTTGAGAATCAACTGCTCCAGATTGGACTGAAATCAGAATTTCGACAGAACTTGGGTAAGTTGTCAAATAGTTGTCAATTTTGTAGGTGTAGTAACTTCGGTTGCTCAATATTGGGACTAGTGCTTGTGAGTTTTAACTACGTGGTAACAACTTTAGACTGCATAAGGTGGATTAAATGTTATGCCTAACCTGCTTGAGAGATCCCTTGTTGACCATGTCTTTTTCCAGAGTCCTAACCCCCCTCCCACCTCCCAACCCCAAACAATTTAATATTTGGCACTTGAAATAAGAAGTATTAGTACGTGGGGTAGTCAGGATTGCTTCATTTTCAGGGTTGGCATGTGTGAAGATTATAGATGTACCTGCTGAGTGCTCAATTGTGGGTATAGCATATTATCTCGGGCAGAAGTCAGAAAGCAACTACTTCTTCTATCCTGTCTTCTCGATTCATGCTAGCTACTTGTGAAATGAAAGAAGTCGTTAAACTACTCCTGAAACATTTTCCAGTTAACTGCTACATGAACTTCTAATATGGGTAGCTCAAGTGGTCTGCTTGAGTGTCTTTGCTCTTTCTTCTGTTATGAGGTGCGACTCTTCAGAGAAAATCTTTTAATCCATCTGTAATATGCTTTACTTTAAGATTACTTAGCATCTTGAAGTCTGTTAAAGTAACATGCCTATATATTTCTCTAAGATGCATCATTTTCAGTCAATATGCAATTTCTGTGCTTTACTATTTTAGGACTGTATAGGGAGGGGGGAAGAAGGAGTTGTGTTCTAAATTATTTGATTTTCTTGGGGTTTTCCTGTTTTGGCTGGGTTTTAAATTCTAAGTCAGCATTGAATTAAACAAGACTATTCAGAAGTGAACAAAGAGGTTGAAGTTTTGATGTAACTTCTGCTAAAGATGGTAGCAAAGTCTTAGTCTATTGTGCCAGATGAAGTCAGTAAACTCAGTTGCATGTTATATGATAAATCCTTACCTCTTATTGTATGTGTTTAACTGCCTTTTCAGGTCGGATGTTTATATTTTATGGTAACAAGACTTCAACGCAGTTCTTGAACTTTACTCCCACAGTAATCTGTTCAGATGAGCTGCAGTCAAATATCCTTGATTTTGCTTTACTCTTGAATAATAGTCTGTGCGCCTGATCATGCTTGGTTATGTTTGATAAAATGCAATGATGGAAATCTTGGATATACAATGGCTGCATGATCTCAAACCAGATGAAATAATTTATTAAAATTTGTGTTACACTGATTCCAAAAAGGCTTTATTTTGAGGAAAAACTAAAAATATAACCACAGATTTTTGCTGAATTGCCAGTAAAGAGAGTACTAAAACAAGATGAGTATATGTTTTTATCAACAAAAGTGCTTGGCTAACAGCTTTGTCAGTATTTTGCTACAAATTTAATTGGTTTGACTTGCTTTTGTACTAAAGTTCTCATACTTGTTCCAAGACCTCAAAACCATTAAACTTTAAATCTAAATTAAGTCACACTATTATTTTCAATGGAAATAGAATTAAGTGATTTTTTTTTTTTAAGCATAGCAACTAAGGAGAAATGCATCTCTTCTGCTGTGATAAAACACACTTCCAGAATGGCTTTATGATTTTCTGTAGAAATTGTAAAGTCATTAAATGCCAATGCATAGACTCTTATGTACAACAAATATGTTTCTTTCAAACCCTGAAAGATGCCAGTCTCCAGGAATACTTGACTGAAGAAAGCCCCTAGAAATAGACCTAAAAATTTCAGTAAAACTAATGTACAAGAAGTATAGACAAGCAAAGTGCTCAAGTGCCAGCTGTACCTGACAGGTTCATTTTATTCTTCTTTGTATAACAAAGCATCCTAAATCACTATTTCATTGTTTTGTGTAACTTAAAAAAAATGTTGGAGTGCAGACACAGTTGTTTGACTGCCTGAATATTAATTTAAGGACTTCTAAATATAACAACTGGCAGTGACATCATTGGTAGTGCTGTTGGGTACACCAAAATACTTAAGCTTAGTCGCATCATGATCAAAGTAACTCTTGCTTTCTGATGGAACCAGTGTGGTGATGACCAGGGATCCAGGCTTTCTGTTTCCCACAGAAAAACAGAGAAAACCACCTGTTTTTTCCCCTGTTAGTCAGGAAATCTGATTTTTACATTTAGCAGAAATATCCGTAGATCTCCCACTTTTGCAAAGAGCTCTGCAGGCTGGCAGAGTTCCAGCCTGCAGGAGCTAATGGCAGAAAGAGTAGCAAACCCCCGAACCCTGTCCAGGGGGAAGAAAGAGGGGGAAGGGGTGGGGTCTGAGGCTCTATCAACCAAGCATTGGCTCAGGCTCGCTGTTCATTTCTGGGGCCTAAGGTAAGTGGAGCTTGCAGGGGGCTGGGGCCCCCTCT